TAAGTATTTCTTTCGTTCAGCCCATCAGGTGCGCAGTGCTCAAGCCGGCTGGTTAGGCCCTAGCCAGGCCATGATACAGCCACCAACAAGTCTCCGAGCTCCGCCACTGTTCCCTCAGTAATCCTGCCTGCGGGGCGAGCACCACACTTATCGGTGGAAAACCCGCAATCTCCCGTTCTCGGTACACGGGCTGCTGGGGTACGCGACACACAGATTAACAGGAAGTCTCCAGACTCCCCGCTCACAGCCTCATCCCCTTTCCCTCGATAGGATGAACAACACCTCAGCCAACAGCAATCTCCAACCCCGCGGTAGGCCTCACAAGCTTTCCTTCAATGGGTTGAGCCTCGCACTGTCAACAACGAACCCCTTCTTTCGCTCCGTTCTCCTCCTCCCGATGCACAACGCGCCTGTTGACAGGCGAGCTACCAACCCCCGCGGCCAGTCCGTACCCGGCTTCCATCGACGGAATGGGCAAGGTCGGATGTATCTTCTGCTAAAACACAGAAAGATGCGTTACTCACCAGCCAAACACGCAAGAAGATAGAGGGGCGCGACTTCTATCAACGGGATGAGCAGCGTACGACTAACTAGTAAGCCTCCTAGCGTTCGGCTCACACCCTGCTCCCACTGTCGGAGGGATGAGCGAAATCGAATGAATCTTCGGCCAGACTTCGGCTCGATACATACCCACCCTCCTCGTCACCCTCCACTTACCCGTTTTCGTACTAACTCCCTTCAAACTCCTCCGCTCGCTATTCTGACTCCCCCATTAAGCTCGCCCACGACCAAACCCTCGAGTCCACTTCTTCTCCTGCTTAAACCCGCCAAGCACCAAGCGGCTCCTCATTCCCTGCCATCGTTTTCGTCATTGCGTTGACGTCTGCCAAAACCGGCGCCCGTTTTTGGGCAGCGTTCCGTCCTCGGCATCGCGGAGCTAGCGAGGTAGACCAAAAAGAAAAGAAAATCTTCCCTTGCTTTATACGCGCCCCTCTGGCGCCGAGGCCATACTGGCCTTCTCGACACTACTCCCCACTCGGCGAACCTCTCGCGGACCCTGCCGGGGCAGTGCCCACGACTTTTCAAAAGTCTGTCCGGCCCCGGTGCCACCCCCCTCTGGTGATGTTGTGTGCGAATCTGGCCCCCCTTTTGGGGTTTGTACGTGTCGGCCTCGCGCCGGGCTATGAGGATCTTCTCCATACCACCCCAATTTTACAGACGTCCCGAGGGACTCCCGTCCCGGCTTAGCGCCCGCCACCGGCCCTTCCAGTTCGGGCGGCCTCAGGGTCACTCTGCCCTGATGGGACTGCGTTCAAACCTCGCCCGGTTCACGACCGGGTTCAATCCTGGGTGCGTCATCAGAAAGTAGCTGGCCGGGCGAATCTCTTCGGTATCGCTTCGATTTCTAACGGATGCCCCGAAGATCAGCAACTGCTTCCCACGCACCGTGTTAGCAGGGATCTGGCCCCCTTTTTGGGTTGGTCCATCGTAGCCGCGCCCGTGTCGTGCCACGGCTCTATTATCAGCAAGTGGCCGGGCCACTCCCCTCTTCTTTTGCTCCCCCGTACCCGGTGCGGCTCGTGTCCGTGTTCATCCCCGGTCCCTCTCCTGTCACCCTGCACAGTGGCCGGGCGGGTCTTCCCAATATCGCCTCAGATTCTCCGAATGTCCCAAGGGACACCGCCAAGGCCACATCGGCAAACGGCCCCAGGCCAGTCGGGCTGCTCGGCTTTTACCCACCAAGCGCCGTCATCTAGGCCCGGCTCCAGCTTACGCTTCATTAGGCCAAGGGTGTACCTATTACGGTTTTGCGCCCCCATATGGGCATATAATTTTGGTAGCAACAAAAAATTACGATAAATTAATTTTACACAAGTAGATGTGTAAACCCGCCAAGCGTGCGGTAATCGGGTGGAAACCACGGCCCCCATAACTGTAAAAGGCGAGGGGGATAGTCCTACGGGCCCATCAACCCCTCAAGCCTCGCCGCCGCGCTCCTCCGCTCCCTTTTCGCCTGCTGTTGGCATCGATCCCTACATCCGCTGCACACCAGTCCGCTACTGTAACTAATAGGGCTAAGCCCAAGCCTCTGACCAACAGGCGCGACTTCCCATACAAGGTGGTACCGCATGGCGCCAGTGGCCAAAGTTACCGCGCTGGTCATTCTTTCAGCCCCTATTTGCACCCACGACCCTTGAATGCCCGCGCCGGCCTACCAGCCTGTGCCCTGGCCATCCCATACGCCTATCGGTGCGCCAGTCTTACCGCCGATCGCGCTCACCGACCAAAAACCAGAAAAGAAAACAGACTTTTATCCCCTAACCAGACCCGTAACACGGTCCGGGCCGACCGGGGCCCATCCAATCAGAAAAATCACACGCGCGCCTAAAAATTGCGCGCCCACACACCTCCTACCAGGTCAAGGCGGACCTCGGACGCAGTCGTATCTCGCACGACTTATTCTGATCAAACCCATTATTTCTGTCACTTGCAAAAACCCGGGCGGATACCCTTGTAAGGGTATTCGCGCCAAGTGCTTACCGGACCATATTAAGCGATGTCCCCGTCGATTCGCCAAATCAGAAGCTACAAATTCATTCACACCCCAAATGCTGACGAGAGCAGAACCAATCCGATTAGCCGATAGACTTAGGGTTGAGGCCTCCATCAAACCGTGCCAACACAACTATATGCCGCCAGGGTTTCAACCTGGATCCCCATTGTCCTGACACCAGGACGCCGGTGTATTACGCATCAATACTACAGCATAAGTTTCAAAGGCCCTCAAACCATCCTCTTCCCTGTTGTCCTAGACAAACGCCGGCTCCTCGTTGGGTGTCCCAGTTAGTCTCCTTCTCGTAAGCAGAGCCATAACTTGGGACGCGGGCCTTAGATGAGACCTATGAAGGCATTTTCGTCTTCCCCCAGCAAATTTCCTCACAATCAAACAAAATATATACGTATAAGCTCACAACCTCTCTCGGCCTTTTTTGCAGTCTAGTACAGAAACGCCAAGTCTCTATCTGGGCCCACCATAGCCTGGTTGATCGGGCCAGGTCTACAACCCATAGCATTGTTATCTTAGCGGCAATACCCTCCCACTGGTTATACAACGACAGGTATATCCCGGATAATCAATCAATCAGGGTCTCCAAAAGACTCGACTCTTATCCCGCGAAGTAATTTCCCTGGGGCGGGCAACTCCCCTTAAACTCTTAACTCGCGGGCTCGCAGCCAGGTTGTGCCGGCTAGCAGCCGTTCACTAGGGGTTGCGCCCAGGTGGCACTAAGCTTTACCGTTAGCTTGGTATTCCTTTAAATATGTCTCAGAACTAGCACAGGTAGCCAGGTGGGGCATCACAACCAGTTCACAGGCCACTGCGGGACTACCTAGGGGTCTGAAGGCATTTACCAGCCCTTCCATAGTAGGCACGACATCCCTCGCTCAACCACAAACAAACTCCCCGCTGGATCCACAAGGCCGCGACTCCTAACTTGATCAGAGCCAGCAGTCGCCCATCCTGAGGCATCTCTCGCCCTTCTCAAATATTTCAAGCAAACATGGTCCCCTCTCGTTAGACTTTATCAACACAACCAAAACTTTTCATGCCACTCAATTTTTATCCACCTTTGCGCAGTAGAGGTGCCTTTCACAAACAATCTCACGGTCACCCCCTCTCTGTCTGTGATGAACTTTCACACGACCTCTTCCAAAACCATGAAGGGGCCCCAATAACAATGCAATTCCCACCTTCCATAACAATAAAGGGGGTCTCAATCACCAAACAACTGAAACTGAGGGACCATCTTCTGGGCCCCCGTATGACAACATTTGGTGTGGCCAAACAACCAAATTTATGAACCTATCAATCCCGTAGGATTCTCGTAATGTTTCACAAACAGGCTGCACTCCCCCTCCTTATACTCTGCTCTCTTGTCTGCTCACAAGCAGGCCGCACGAGTATACCGGAGAGTAGACAACTTTACTATTCATGGGGTGTATCCTGTACACCCCCCACACAAAGCCAAACATACATCAGAATAAAGCCACACATGTGAGAGTAATGGTGATCGTCACAAGAGAAATCCTATAGGATCTCAACTCATGGTACACTCAGGGAGTAGAATGCCTCCCTCAAAACTCAAACACAATCACTCAACTCCAACTTTGTCCATCTGAGCCTGACTCACGACCCCACTGTACACTCGCGGAATACACTCGGGGACACACCATCCGTTTAAAACCCAATGGGCGCCCAACCCCTGTCTCGCTCTACTGGGGAACTCATACCCAAGCCTCACTCAAAATCCAAATAGTATCTGCACCACAAAACCAAAAATAGACTGAATGGTCTCGAACCCCATTTCCTAAGCCATAGTTCATGAAAAAAACTAAGGAAAACACGATCAACTATGTATGTATAACCAAGCAGGGACTCATCCTACCACCCCTAACGTATGCACGCATCTAGGGCCCCCTTAGCCAACTCAGCATATGTACAACTCCAACCCGCCCCCTGCGTGCAAAACACTCTGGGCCTACTGACACATAGACAGACCAGCCCCTACTCACGCAACTCCTCCTGGTTCTGCCTATATAACTGAGCCTTGCCCCCATCTGGAGCTCGCTCCACTATCCTGCCTTGTCTGTCATAGAACTTGCCGTCGACCTCTGCAACCCGCCCCTCGGCCTTGTCCTCAAGGAGCTCTGGGCAGTCCACGGCTCTATGCCCTTCCTTCTTGCACCAAAAGCAGGAGGTGTCGTGCCACCAGGCAGTTTTCTTCTTTCTCCCCAAGGAACTTAATGCTGAAGGCGTCCCCATGGTCTCGGTGGTCGCCTCATGACACAACGGTACCTCCATATGGCCCTGAGGTCCGGACTCTATAGTCTCAGCAGCCTCGCCCCCTCGTATGGCTGTACTCACTGGCCCGTGGCTCGGCGCATCCAACTCTCGGGATCCCTCCTCATGAGGCCTCTCCATCGCAACCACATCCCCACATGATCATGACGGCTGAGAGCCCGCCATGGCGGCAGGCTCACTCATGACCTCCTGCCGCGGCTGCCGCCCTGAGTCAGGTCAGCCTGAGTCCATCCCTGTGGCCCAGGAGCCCAACTCCGCCCTCAACTCTCCCAGCCCCGGGGCGTATTTTGGAGTATCAAGTCTTTGAGGCCTCTCCTGTGGAGTACCTATCCCCATGGCTGCCGCCAGCTCATGCAACCTCGAGCCCCTCCTCTTCATGGACATAGCCATAAGCGACTCCTGTGCGCCACCCTCCTCCTTGGCCGAATCCAGAGGCACCTCCTCTATTGGCCCTCCTTGTCGAGGGGACTCTGCTGCCACCCCCTGGCCTGGCGAAACCCGAGCCTCTCGACCCTGGACCTTGACACTGGCTCGTTCTGCCTGACCAGCCTCCCCGGCTGCTGAAAGCCTGTCCACGACGGCTGCCATCTCCCTAAATCTCCTCTCCCACTCAACCTCTCTAGCCTGTCTCCTCGCTCTCTCTTCCGCAAGCTGGGTAGTTAGGTGCTCTACCTCCAACCTCCTGACCGTGAGCTCATCGCTGAGTAGACTATACCGCTGGAAAGACGTAACCGCCACCTCGCGCATTTTCCTATCCACGAGATCGATCGCCATCCTAGTCGCAGAGAACCCCAAGTCCCCCATCTCCCGCAGCGCGTCCACCCCCTCGTCCGCCTGTCCTGCCTCTCGCGATCTCCGGCGGGCTGCATCCCTCTGGCTCTCGTATCTGGCCCACAACTTGTCGATCCTCTGCTCAGTCGTCTTGGGCTCGACCGGCGGCGTCGGTTTTATCCCTGCCGCCTCCATCTCAGCCTGCCTCGCGTGTATTTCATCCAGACGGGCTCGCACTCTGGCGGACTTCTCTTCGCGGGTTTCCCTTGGGGCTCTCTCCACTCGCGGCCCCTGGCCTTCTGGAGTTGGCGCCTCGGCCCTCACCCTCTCGCTCGCGCATGGCAATGCTGGCAATGACTCCACTGGAGCAGGTCCCCCGATAACTGGGCTCTCGGTCGCATGTGTGGCCAATGGCAAGTCAAGGAGTACCTCCATCCTCGCTCTCTCACACGCTCCCTGATCCTCCATCTCAGCCTCCTGCTCGGGTATAGTGGCGGTCTCAGGGGAAAGCTCTAGGACCTCCTCACTATCCGGCTCAGGAACCTCCTCTGGCCAGGACTGCTGCGCTGGCTCTGGGGCTGGGGTGCATGGAGGGGTATCGTCTCCGACCGTGATCACCTCCTCAACCTGAGGTCGTACCGGGTCCAGCTGCTCGGCTGCCATCTCAGGACCCTGCGGCTCCTCTCGGTCTCGCATATCCGTCTCCGTCTCGAGGTCCAGAGGCTCCTCTAATGGTACATAGCGCGCCGACTCAGTTGAGCCCTCCCCCAACCGGTAGGCTTCCCATCGAGACACGTCAAGGTGAGTCGCTAAGGTCCGGAATGGCGTCTCCCCTGGTATGTCCGGCTCCTGCCCCAATGGCGACGGTGAAGGCGGCCTCAGCTCCTCGCTCGTAATCCGCCGAAACTCAACTGCCCGGAGACCACAAGCAGGGAACGACTCCTCTTTCGGTGCGGGCCCCACGGGCTCATCCTCTCGCTGTGCTGGGGCCCTCCTCCTCTCTCTGGCCAGCTCCGTCTCTTTCAGCGCCTGTTCCCTTGGCCTCTTGCTTCGCCTTCGCCTCACAACCCTGGGCTCGGGCCTCTCACGCTATGGCCGTCCAAATACCTTCCCGAGCTGAGCCTGGCAGTCCTTCCAGTCTCGCGCCCTCTCTCGGACCTGTCTGGCCACTGGCCTTTCCGCCCCCCTAGTCCAAATAAGTAGGGCCTGCATCCAGTCCTCCTGCGTTATCTCCTGACTCAGCATATAATGCTCGTATGCGGGAATAAACTCCTCCGCATTCCCCTCCTCCAATCGAATGGGCATGCCATCACGTCCTCTAGGGGAAGCTCTCAACCTCTGCATCCCGGCCTCCACGTCTGTCCAGGTCAAGACCTCCTCGCATATCTGAGCCACCGGCTCCTCAAACCGCCCTATCCCCCTCAAATGGTGGATCCTCTCTGCCACCGACCACCCTCTCTGTGCCCCATGATCCCGATACACGTCCAGGAAGAGCTCTATGTTGTCATCATCGAACTCCGGCGTAGGCTCTCTCCTAGGCGGCCCGTGCTGCTCGCCTCTCCCGGATATCCTCTGGGGGCCCTGCCGTGGCCGTGCATCCCTCCCGCCCCTCTGCATGGCTGCCTTCGAAAAGTCAGACCTGCACAACAGGCGAGAGACAGCAACAGGCACACAGCAGGGTCAACAATTGAACGTATCACTCTAGGAAGGTCCCACATACATCCCACACCCATCCACCCTAATCATCCATCTACCTAATCAGCCAAACTGCGTAACATCTGGGCAAGACTCTATTACTACGACAATCTCGTGGTCCCTTACCTATTCCCTAGCCACGAACTTCTTCAGCCTTGTCCCTGATACCCAGTCCTGCCACCTCGCCCCATCCAACTCCTCAATCTGATAGGCCCCAAACTTGCCACACCGCACGATCCTGTAAGGCCCCAACCACCGTTTGTCGAGCTTCCTGGACCACTGCTTTTCCAGCGAGGAGTCGTATAGCAGCACTACATCCCCAACCTTCAACGGTTCTTTCCTTACACGCGCCATCTGGTCCCACCTCATCTTGTCCTTCATGCGGCTCCTCTCCACGTGCTTGGAGGCCTCTCGCAGCCTTTCCTCGGCAGCCCCTACTTGCCGTGCCCAGATATCGAGCAACTCTTTGAATGACAAGTTAACTTCCAAGTCCTGGCGCCTCCACGTGCCTCCCGTACCATAGTGTGGCTGACGCATACTTGGTAGTCCTTTTCACTGTAACATTCTCCTCGAAGAAGGCTGCTCTCAGAAACTTTGGCCACTGGTTAGGCCTCCCTTCAATCCATTTGGCAAGGAGGTTCGTGATGGTACTATAACCCCTTTCCACAGGTGCGTTCGCCTGGGGGTGCACGACCGTGGTATAATTTGCCACCATGCCATACCCTGCGAGCAACGTCCGCACCTCATTGCAGGTGAACTCCGAACCCCGATCCATCACGAATTCTCTGACAAAGGGGTAGCGCAGGTAGTACTCTTCGATGCACCTAGTTAGAACTGGGTCGGTCTTTGTACGAATAGCCCAACCGTCCACGAACCCAGTAAGATTATCGCGCGCATCGAAGATGTAATTACTTCCAGCCTCCACGACCGGCATGAACAGCAGGTCCAGGTGCACGACTGCTCCCACCTCCGTCTCCAGCCTTGGGTGTAGGGGCTCCCTTGGCCTTTGCGCTGACCTTTCCTGACAGGGTACGCAGGACTGGCAGTACTTGATGACCATAGTTAGCATCCCATCCCAATGGTATAACTCGCTTATCTTGGAACACGTGGCACCTATCCCTTTGTGCCCTCTCGCTATGCCATCATGTAGGGCGGCTATAATATCGATTTGCCGGTTCCTCCCACACACAATCCTTTTAGGATTCCCGACCTGCCGCTTAATAAACAAATGGTCATCCCTTACGACATAGAGATGTCGCATCTTCTGCGCCTTCGCGCCCGCATCCCTATCCCTCATCTCGCAGGATAGGAGTAGCCCCAACTCCAGATAGATTCCGTCGTACTCCTCCGCCCGAAATGCGTCCTTGATCTCTCCTTCCTCGAACTCATCGTCCTGGCTTTCGGGTACCGGACCTTCGCCTTCAACTGGGTTCAGTGAACCCCTTCGGTCGAAGTCTCCCTGTAGGAGTGTGTTCGTGAGGAGATACATCCCTCCCATCAACTGCTCATGCTTCTCAACTTGGGTAGGGCCCTCCTCAATCATCCTTACCTCCACAGCCAAATTGTGTGTGCCCGCCAATGCCAATTCCATCATCCAGCCAACGTCCTTGCTCCCCCACGGATCCTCTTCCTGGAAGGGTTTGAGGACCGATTCCTCCCTTCGCTCGTACCCCTTTGGCGCTAGCCATATGGGGTGGGTGACGCAGCTAGGCACCCCCAACGACCATTCGTTTATGTAAAGGCGGACGTCTTCCTCTTGATCCAGGAACCCATCAACGGGCGGGGTGTCCTCAATTGACTCCTGGTTCGCCCCATCCCAGTTGATACGGCTCAGCCCATCTGCCCTGTTCTTGTCCCCTGGGATTCTTTCCAGCTCAAAGTTAAACATCCAAATGTAGGTCAGCCATCTTGCGATGGTTGGGTCAGATGGAGTATAACTCTTTAGGGAACATGCAAGCGCAGTAGGGTCCACCCTCAAAATGAGCCTCCTGTTAAAGATATAGTTCCGGAAGGTCCTCAGGCAATGGAGCACCGCCAGCGTCTCCTTCTTAAACTGAGAGTAGTTCCTCTCAGTCATGTTAAGGGTACGACTTTCAAACCTTAGCGGCCTCTCCTTCCCATCCACATCTGCTTGAATCAGGACCCCTCCTAGGGCTGTTGGCCCAACGTCCGTCTCGACAACGAATGGCTTATCCTCCGTGGCCTCATAATTTGGCGCTCCCAGCACCAAGCCTCCTTCCTTAAACTGTCCCTTCATCCTTTCCACAGCCTTTTCCTGGTCTTCGCCCCAGACCCATTCCTGATCCTGACGCACCAGCTTCCTCAACTGCTCCATTTTGGTGGCGAAGTCCTTCACAAAACTCCTCCAAAACCCACAGGTCCCAAGAAAGTTCCTCATGTCCGTTATCGATTGAAAGGGCACTGGCCTCTCTAGGATCTTGTCTGTTTTCTTCACATCTGGCCTCCGCCCCTTCTCATTACAGACAAAGCCCAGAATCGTGGCCTCCCTCATACAGTGCTTCGACTTGGGGCCGCTCGCCGTCAGGTTGTGTTCTTCTAGCAGACCCAGAACCTTATCAATATCCAGGATGTGCGTTTAGACGAACCACCTTACTCCGGGCAGCACCTCGTCTTCCTCCTTCTCCTTTGGACCCTTGACCACCAAATCGTCAATGTGCGGACTAACCGTCTGCATGGCCCTAATCATATGCCTTTGCACCATCGCCACCACATTAGTCCAAACCTGAGGAGCCACATTCATGTGGATCAGCCCCTTTGGCATATGCATTGCCGTCACCGGCCGGTCCGACGGGTACATAGGAAACTGGTCATACCCATAATAAAGGTCTATGAGTAAAATTATAGGCCTCCCTACACATGATTCTTACAGGGCGTCCGCATTCGACAATCCTTCCGCGTCCCGCACTGTCACCGCATTCAATCGCTGTAAATCCTGCACCCACCGTACCGTTCTGTTCGGCTTGATAAAGCAAAACCAAGGGGAGGCATACGGTCCACCAGAGTAGTCTGCCACGTGCGTCCACATCTTGCCGTCCAAATAGTCCACTAACCTCTTCTCCTCATCCGGATTCGGATATCGTGCGCCCCTTAAGTTCCACGGCTATGCGGGACGGTGAGGATTCGTATCGTTGGGATCTTATCCACATCCAACCTCCCACGCTCGTCGTCATTAAACGCATACGCGCAACGCCTCCTCTTCATGGTCTCCACCATCAGAGTTCTCTCATGGGGTGAAAGGAAGCATTGATGTGGCACGGTCCTGCCTGCGCCTGCTCCTGCATTCGTCTGATCAGTCCCCGCTCCCGCTCGTAGTAGGCCTCTTCATCCTCTGTAACCAGTACGGGGACTGGGCGACACTTCTTATCTCTGGTCTTGTACCGCCTTTGGGAGCCCTGCTTAAGCCCTTCCCTAAAAAAGGCCGACTTGTCGTTCGGGCATGGGCCATCGCAGGGTCCCCTTTCCTTCCTGGAAGCCAATAGATCAGCTCCACCTCTCCCACCTGAGGGCTCTCCAGGACCTGCTCTCTCAATGCCTTTATGGCCTCAGGGTCCGCCATATCATGCGCCGCCACCACCTCCATCGCCTCATTTACATCATTAGGGCTCAAAGACAATACCTCGACCGTTTCCTCCTCCTCTTGCTCCTCCCGTAGTCTTCGTCGCGCGTACTCGGACTCCTCGAAGGTAAAGGAGCCGAGGTTGAGCATGTTCCTCCCACTTCCGGGTCCCGTATTCCGGCACTTGATAATCTCGTAGTTCTTGCAGGCCGGGTCGGATAGAGCCAGGATCATCGTCCCCTCATACCTGTTGAAGACCAAGGTCTTTGTTCGGCAGAGGAACGACCTCCCCAGAAGAATTGGGTGATCAACATCGGGCATGACGAAAAAACACATTCGTTCCCTTACCCTCCCAATTTCCACCATCACGTTAGACACGGTGCCGCAAAAAATTGCCTTGCAGTTGGCGCCATGCAACACACCATGATCCGAGTGGTCTACCTCCATCCCTAGCATGGTCACATCCCGCTCCTGGATAATATTCATCTCAACGCCCGTGTTCACCATTGCAATACTCGGTTGATCCATCACCTTCAGATCCACCAGCCCACAAGCCACACACTTCCACTCCATCCTTGTGCCCGCCTCTGTCCACTCTATTTCCCGGGGCAGGATCGTACTCAGATGGACATTAGGCACTAACCTCCACGAGAGTCGCCCTTTCAATTCACCACGGAGCCTTGGTGCTGATGCCAAGATGTCTTTTAAATTCATCAAATCATTGTGACCCTCCAGGAGCTTGTCCATCATTCGCTCCACGTCAAAACCCTCCTCGAGCCGGACTGCGTACTTCTTCCTTTTTGGCACGCCGTCATGCAGGCCTGGCTCCGCCTCTCCCTGAATTCCTCTCTTCTTGGCCCTCTGCTCGGCTCACCGATCCTCTTCCTGTCGGAGCCTCTCGTCCTCTTCATCATCACCCTCCCCTTCTTCCTTCCGAACCTCCACCACTTCCTTCCTACGCTCAGGCTCGGGCTCCCTTCGAGGAGGCACTCGGCCAGGTGCCTGACTGGGTCCCTGGCTGGTAGTAGCCTTACTCTGGCTCCTAGTCTGCGTGGCCTGCGGCACCCTCCCATGCGATGTAGGGGGTCTATAGACCATCCCAGATCTGGGGCCTGATCCGGCCGTTGCCACTCTTGGATACTCTTGTGGCTCCGATGACGACTCCGGGCCCGACCCATAGAGCATAACCTCAGGGAGGTTCGCTTCCCACTCTCGAGCCTCCTCACACATCACCCTCAGTCGTTCCTGATATCTGCCCACCTTCGCAAGCAGGTCCTCCATCCTGACTCTCTTGGCACCTCCTACCCTTCGTCGTCTGACTCAACGACTATAAGCTCCTCCTTTATAGCCCCTGCCTTTAGTCGTTGAGTCACTTCCTCATTCTCGTCCACAATCTCATCGACCCTCACACCCGGATCCTCCCTCTCTTGCCATATTCTAAACATTGTCCGGGCTGCCGGTCGCCCTGCTGTTGCTCTCCTAAGAGCCTCTTGCCTGATTCCTCCCGGGTCCTAGGGTCAATGTGCTTGCCCCACTTGTTGTATATGTCCCCGTCCATACAAGAGGAGATCAGCCCTGCCAGCTCAACGTTCCGCCGCTGTTGGCAAAACCGTATGGTGTGGCCCACCTCGCCACAATGCCAACAAGTTGCATTCCGCCAATCAAAGCAGGGTCTCCCATACCCCTGGCTTCCCTTCTGGCTGCCCTGGCCACCTTCGCCCTGGCCCCCTTGGCCATTCCAACCACCACCGCTGCCCCTGCCATTCCTGCCTCGGCCCCTGCCACCGCCTCCTCGGCCCCTTTGACCCCCTCCTCCATTGCCTTGGCCGCCTTGCCCTTGATCCCCTCCCCCGGCCACACTAGCCTGCGACGCCTGCTGGGATAGTGGCGGCTGGGCCGCGGGCTGACTTTGGGTCGCGGGGTAGCCTGACGTGCCCCCACTTGCCAACGGACTCAGATACGAGACCATCTGCCCCACGTGCGCCTGCCCCCCCCCACATGACGTACAATGCCCACAACTGGGCCAGGGCGCTAGCTGACAGTGCGGCATCCAGTGCCCGTAACTTAATGGCGGCCCCATGGGTGGTGGCCCTACTGGCGCTGACACGGCCGTGGCGGAAGGCGGCAGTACGGCAATGGCTTGAGGAGCCTGCCCCTTCCCTGACCCCTGCCCTCCCAGCAGCAGATTGCGCTGCTTCCTCTGGGCCTTAGTCAGGACTTGGGAGCCTGTCTCCTCCCCGTCGTAGTCTTCACGACCGGCCTCTTCATCCCCCGCCCCCGACGCCCGACCTTGGGCCACTGTCACCCCTTTCTTCTATATCTCCGCCTCATTATCATATCCCAACGCCGCCAGCACGTCCGTGACTATCCTCTTTACCCCTGGGGTCCCGGATGCGGTAGCATCCCTTTCCTTCCTCTTACGCCTTTGCAGCCGCATTTGGTGCTGCTCCACCTGGTCCAGACTCCCTTCTTCCACTCCTTTGTCAACAGTCGCCCAAGTGAGCTTTTCACTCCGCTCCCCATGCTTTGTCAACTCTGAGGCCTCCGTGCCTGAAAGCAGCCCCAGAAATGTGACGCACTGCGCCTCCTCAGAAATCCCGTGCACTTTCCTCGCCTTTTTCTTGAATTCATGCACAAAGGCCCCGATCGTGGAGAAGTCTTCCTTCTTCATGGCCTCCAGGTCCGCCATGGTCAGCAACCCATCCCCTAGCCTATACTTTCTTAACATCAGGTCCCTGAACCTTGCCCAGCTGCCATTCGCGGCGTCCACCACTCTACCCACCTCTTGATGGTGGCTATGCAGGACGTATCTCATAATTCGCTAGAATCTTACTTCGTCCGCTAATCCCACCAGTGCCTGCTCCACCAGGTCTAGCCAATTGGACACCCGGTCTCCTTTGAAATGGAATGTCTCAACCTTCGAGACATTGCTTGGCGTCCTCTCGCGCTTGTTCAAGGCATCGATGAGGTCATTGAGCATTAGGAGCTTTCTCCCACCGTCTGCCATCTCCTCTGGTATTCCGGTTAACTGCCTTCGGTTCCAACCCCCCTGTTATAAGAATGATACGATGAAAAAATTTCACTCAGCACTCCAATCCATCATGATCCTATCAGGCCGACCACTTAAACATCCGACGCTCTAGACCTAGCAGACGTTTTTCCTCCCATTTCCCTTAGGCTCACCCAGATAAGGTCTATCCTTACCATAAAGTCTCCTCGCACATTCGCCTCATCCACGCCATCAGCCATGCCGTCAATCACTCAACTATCCACATCCTCAGTCATATAAACCACCAAGCAATCCACCTCGTAATCTTTCCCTTATCCACTCATAGGCCTAGTTCTCCCTCATTCCCATACCCGAATGTCGTTCCACCAGGGACAACGGTAGGCTTCCATTATCCCTGGCAACAGCGCCACCTGTCGAGCGCATCAGTCTGGCACCGCACGTGGTAGCGCGGGACCCTCTCGGCCGCGTCACGCAGGAGTTGGACCAATCCCGTCAAGGACACGCAAATGGAGCTTCCTTAGGCTGCTTCGGTCGAGTGCGCCAGCCATACCTCTCGCGAGCCCCTACGACAGGATAGGGCCTACGCGAGGCACAACTTACCTCCACCGTACGGGAGTTGTCACCTCCCATCGGTGGGCGTATCCCCGCCGAGGTACCAGTCCACAATACGAAAGCTAATCAGTTGCAATCGCAGAGGTGGACCAGCCGAGGGCGTTTCTCGTTCGCTATAGCATAGGGGGTACGCGCGGTAACACGCCTATCGGACCCGCACGCGACCCGACATCCTGAGGGGGATGAAGTCCCAAGCGCGGTCCGACATCGGTCGACTAGGACGCATCCCAGACACCTCGCGCACACCACTCTAACAACCACGAAAACAGAGCATATACACACGAGCGCACAAAAGGATATGACACGAACAACTCGACAACCCTCTTAGTCCCTCGGTAGCCATCCTATAACTTTCCAATGCGGAAATCGAATAGGCGTCGCACGCGAGACTTAGTATAAAAACGCGCGGGCGCAGGGCTAACTCATATCGGCTCGTAATGCAAGCGTACACACGCGGTCGCAATGATGGCGTACTATGTAGTGCCCATAATCGTGCAGACCTCATTGACTTCGAGGGTCGCATTCGACACTCAAGTGTCGGCTGACACACGCCTTGAGGGTTAATCTCTCGACGCTGGACAACCGCCATGCGCGGTTGAGGATCACACACCCTCTTCTGCACCTTATGCAGAGCGTGTGGTACACAGGTCCATACCTATGGTGGTAGCCGCTCTCTCGCGGCCCTAGGGGTAGGTCCTCCCCGAGCCTTGGCGAAAGTCAAGGGGTTTGACTTTGACGGCTGACGGGGACTGCAACGTCTAATCATAAAAATCTCTAAAAAGCAAGGGATAAGGAAGAGGCCGACGACTCTACTTCCTAAGAAAAATCATAACCTCGGGGTACCCTCCCCCTTTCGCGCGGCGCCTGTGGCCTATAACAACCCCAAGCATTCACGCGCGTGCGATTCCCTTTGATCTCATAACCTTTAGACGCTGGGGCGGTGAGCGTTGCGCGCGAAGTTCAGATATAAAGTCGCGCGGCCGTAGGCCAGTCCCATACCAACCAATAATGCCAATTATACGTGGTAATCGTGGCCCCGGCCTTGCGATATTGAATAGATGAAGGAATATATCGCGAGGGGTCGCCCCTCACGATATTGAACGGCTGAAGGACATGTCGTTCAACCCTCGTGGCGCTTCCGCCCTCAGGGTTGGGTATCCCGCGGGTAGTGCAAATAGGCTCTGCGCGGGGGGAAGTCCCTCTCCTGCAGAGCCTAAGGCTTGGGATGTCCTAGACAAGGACATGGAATCCCGACCTAGGACAAACGTCCGACTAAGAAAACCCTTAAGGAGCAAACGGGAGAGAGGGAAGGGTCTTCCCCGTGCCTCTCAATCATAGCCCTTGGCGTACCCCCTTTGTAAGGGACCCCTTAAGCCTCGCGAACACCCACCGTAAGTACTCTCAAGCATACACACATAAGGGAGGTAGAGTTGCGACGATCATTCCTCACAGGCACAGTGAGACCCCTCACAACCATATATACATGTAGGATAGCAGGGTAGTCGAATCCAAACATCCAAGCCACTGAACATACTTGCAATCACATCAAAGAGCCAAACAAGCGTCCACGCACTACACGGAGTCAACCCAACCAATTCTCTATGCTCATACTCCGTCGCTTTAGCCATGCAAGCCCCAATCTCCAATCCAACCAACCTTAATTAAATACTCAGTACCTTCGCTAAATGGCCATTCAATAAAAGTCCGGGCAAAACCGTTAACAAACAATAAAATCACCAGGGCTAAAGCTTTTTATGTTGAGTATGGAGGATGAGTTGGAATTGAGTCGTAAACCGACGAATCGGCAAACGACCTGTTATCAGTGATAACAAGGGGTGATCCTTGTAGGATCAAGCTGACTCTAATCCTGATCTTGAATCAGACACCCCAAAGAATCTGTAACACAAAATAGGCTAAATGCCCAAACTAAATTATCAGCATGTGGGGGATAAACCTCCATAGCACATTCTCATTAAAAGCTACCCGCCAACTACGTCCAAGCCTGCCTCTAAGCCAGTGCCCGAAGCAAAGGTAGACTAATGGCAGAATCTCCCTTATTCAGGGTGGATTGCCAGAAGTGCCACCTATCAAAATATAACCTAAATCCTCTAATTCAAGAAAATTTCGGCAGCGCTTCCCGTAGGAAAGGTGCCTTTTCAGAATTTATACAAGCTCAAATATCAAAAGAAGGAGTAATCTATAACTCTGGAAAGTCAAATTTTGTCGAACTCCTTGAATTAATAGAAATTTGGGCAGCATCCCCTTTGGAAATGGAGCCTTCCCAGATTTATACCAAGTCGAATTTGAACCCAACATCCAACCTTGAGTCCAACTTAGACAAAATCTGACCAACCCCCTAGTTTTGCAGAATTTTTTGGCAAATTGGCAGCACTTCCCCTAGAAAAGTGCTTTCCCAGAATTTATACAAAGCTAAGTTAAAAACTTGAGACTAACTCTGACTTCCGAAAGTCCAATTTTGTCTAACTCCCTGAATTAGCAAAATTTTGGGCAGCACTCCCTTTAGAAAAGGGGACTTTCCAAATTTTTACTAAGCCAGATATAACGAAAAGACAAGTTGAACTTTGACAAGTCTAAATTTGTCTATCTCCTTGAATCTGTAGAAATTTCGACAGCGCTTCCCGTAAAGAGAGTGACTTACCAAAATTTATACAAGTCCAAGTATAGCAGTGAGTCTCAGAAAATGCAAGAATCGATCTAAGTAAGACAAAGTCAGCCCAGAAAAATGCAGGAATTTAACGAACTCTTATCGCTCTAGCACGTGGCGAAATTCTAAAACAACTACCTGTTAATCTGAAACCATGACCAAGTAGTAATCTCACGCAGCCACATGCAGGCCAACCCACCAAGGTGAGTACTCTCACCAACCTTTAACTCTTTAACAAGCAATAGTTCATGCTTCCTCTGTGAGTTACCCCTTTATACCCAACTTATATAGGGCCTAGGTCAGGCCACCTGAACTTACAGAGCGCGCCCAACTTAGCCAGGCCTAAAGTCAAAATACCTAAACTTATAGAGCGTTCTAACTTGGTCAAGTATACACAATCAGAGGGCACAACTATTTCTCTCTTCTTTGGGCATATGACTGGACCACTCCAGTCGCCCTGAACTATTTAAATAGCCAAATTATATATATCTCTCTGAGCTTAATCTTCAAAGGGGACATAAGGCTGAGCCGCTCAACTTAGAACACTGCTCAGCCTGCCCAAGTTTACCTTCAATTACATCTCTTAGTTATACCCTCTTCAATTACGATAAGCTACAGTCAGGCTACCTAAACTTATAGAGCGGCCTGACGTGCCTGCTCTTAATAACATAGTAATACAATATAGCCAATTTATATCCATTGGGTTCCAACATATGCGAGGCATTGGGTCGGACTACCTAAACTTATAGAGCAATCTGACCCTCTGCCAGGTTCGTTCCTCTCTGATTCAGTTTGTGCGAGGCAGTGGGACAGGCTACCTAAACTTATAGAGCGGCCTGCCCCCTGCCAGAGTTATCCCCTCATAATAAAACAGGAGAAGGACTGAACCACCTAAACTTATAGAGCAGTTCAGACCTCCTCGTTCAAAAACAAGGAAATCGAAAGAATTCTCAAATAAACAAGGCGACCAAGGGTACGTAAACTTATACAGCGTCCTGAGCCCTTGAAAGTCAAGCACAATCAACCCTCACAAGTCAAAGCAGTTAGGTCACCTAAGCTTATAGAGCGTCCTGACCCTCCATGCAATTTCACAGCACCAGGTCTCACCAAACTTATGGGGACATCCCAGCCTCTAGAGCTTCAGGCCACCTAAACTTATAGAGCGGCCTGAGGCTCCATGCAACCCAAAAATAAACAAAGCGTCGGACTTCCCCAAACTTATGGGGACCTCCCTGCCTTAACGACCCCATCAATCTGCACACAACACGGCCTTCCTCCCAACCTTCCCCCAGATAAACCCTCCTTCGTTCACAATCTGCTTTCAGGCAGTCAAACAAAGTCTGAAGTTGGAATTGCACATACATTCCTTGATTTCAGTCTGACTTATGTCCTGAAAGTCAAACCAACATCAAGATACAGAACCCACACCATACGCTCAGTCAAACATAGAAAGGTGTACAGATAGGGGTTATAGTTGGGTTTATAGAAGGGGTCAGGGAATTACCACTAAGTTCCCTGCCTCCAGGACTCCTCCTGAGTCCCGGCAGAGCTCCCTCAATCGGTGGGGCGGGCTTCCCACAGAGACCTTGGCGCGGGTC